TGTTCCATGGAAGCCATGGTGGTTTCTTGAGCCCATAATTTGTTTGTATACCACAGTTTGGCCGAATTCTCCACGATTGGATCAATACCCCGTCTAAAGCACACTTGACGATCTACTGAAGGAACAAACCCTTACACCAGAAAGGTAGATTGCTACACCATGGTTTTTGCTGTACCATTTTTGAAGCCTGAATACCTGAGGCAGAGCCGCTAAGACTTAATGTTGCTCCCAAGGCCTCCCCTTACCCTTTGCTCTATCTTATTATCGCCATCATGGACGTCTGCGTCTTGCTCTCTATTTTCTCGGCCCTCTTAGACGTCTACCCCCTCCTCCCAACGTCCAGTGTATCCTGACCCTGGCTCACATAATGCCTGAAATTACCTGCAAGTAGAAATGCCTTTCAAAATGCCAGTTAAGACGTTTTCAAAAAAAATTTCCTTCTTCTCTGCGGGGGAAGATTGAACTACCATGGGTCCATTTACCAGAATCGATCGATACCATTTTTGCACCCCATCTTCCGCTTTCTGCAATTTGGGAATGCGCCTGAGAGGACTCCTACCGAAGCGTTTTGGAAAAGGACCTCTGCACCTTCGTGGGAAAATTTTCTACCAAACTTATAAAGGAAGGTAAATAAATGACATGAAATTCAATAAATAAGTTCTCCATAACATTTTATGTGGGATTAATCACAGAGAAAGGTTTGTGGGTCTGACTGAGCCATATGTGCGGCACATTTATGGCAAATTGAAGTCCATCAATTTTGATATCTATTTGTGACTTTTCCTCATGAACGAATCATTGCTAAAGGTGGCGGGGACTAATGCTTCAAAAGCAAGGAGACTGTTTTTGAATGGCGCTCTTAACAAGAGCGAAACTGAGCCTAATTCAATTAACCAAATCTTGTCATGGAGCCTTAAAGTGGAATTCTGGAGTGAGACCAAAGGGCCATAAAAACGGTCAAGTTGTCAAGACTAATTCTGAAATTCGGGAGATGAGGAACTACTCGAATTCTGTTGATCTCCTCAAGATACTTAATAGGACGCTCTCCCTCCCCCCCCCCCCACTCCAGACAGGAGTGCCCGCAATCTATACTGTACACAAATGAACTTCGTATAGCATACATTATAACAAATTGAATGAAAACTATTTCGTTTTTATCATCATTTTGATCTTTAGTTGTTATTGAAATTTAATATTATCCTTCAAAATTGTTCCAATTTATTCAAAGGTATGAGGACCGAAGAAGTCGTTTTAGTCTCCGTTCTGCATGTGCCCTTAGACGGAAATTAAACAAATGAGTATCCTCCCTCTTGTTCATGAAACATCTGCAGTAGTGGCTCTGAAGTGAGTGCGATAATGTGGGTGCTGGAAAAGGAAAACCTGCTATAGAGGGACTTGGTTGCCATGAATAATCGGCGACATATCCCGAGGCGATGGTTCGCCTCGATCAACATAACAAAAAGTCGCACACATTTTCCACTAATAATTTGAGTCTCATACTACTTCCCAATAACTTCCTCCATCTATTATCCCTGTGCTCACATTGCAAGCAGAAGAAGCGGGCACGTGTCGTTACGCAGCAGATGCCAACTGTGTACTCTCCTATAATCTTTCAGTAAAACGCCTGAAATCTATTGGAAAAAATGAGAAGCTTCGCTTCTGCAGGACCTAGGTCTTCACCTCTTCCATCTTTTCTATTACTGCGTTACTTATCGTTTCAGCCCCTTTATGTTTTTGACATCCGACCAGCTAGTTAAACCAGCGGCTTAAAAGATGCGAAGGCAGGATAACTGGGTACCGGCTTAAGAAGCTTCCCGGCCGGCTATTGCTCTATTCGCTTGGAAACCAAAGACAATGAAGGTGTCTGCGTTTCACTTGTCCCCATGTTCTCTTTTCCTATACATCTAACACCTTCGTAATGGCACTGTTTCCTCACCTAGGCGCCTAGATTGCTTGAAAGCTGAAGGTGATGTCTGAATCAGAGGGTTTTCGGTCCCAACCAGAGGCTAAATTCGAAGGCCGTTCAATTCCCGTTTCAACTACTTTTTTTTACCTAAGTGGCGACTATTTAGGATTTGAACTTCACGCCAAAGCAGAGCCACTCACATTTTGCACCAGGACTGAATCAGGGGAAAAATAGGACTGGCTAAGCTGTGGCAGAATTATGTGAAAAGGATCGTTCCAAACTTCAAACGATGGCTCCATCCACTTAATCATTTTCGTTAACACTTCCTCTACTTTTTCAAACATTGACAGGTCCATCTATCTTAGCAGCACATTTTGAAGAGACTCTACGCAGTTTTCTCCGAAATGGCCCTCATACTTCATCGTTGAGGAAGTCGCAAAAGAACAGCACAGTGTGGGTGGCACCTGTGAGGCGACGACTGAACAGTTGCACATTGTGTGATTACTCATCTTGCCGACAGCGCGATTAAAGTTCTCTTCATCGCTCTGACGACGATAAAACAAGAACACTCTCGATGCTCTTTACACTTTATCGCTGTAAAGCAGGACAGTTTTTCCTGTGGGTTTCAGTAGAGGATAAAGATAACTTCATATAATCGCTGATATTGATACTATATTCGCTTTCATTCACTTAATATTTCTGGATATCATTTTGCATTTGATTTGTATAATCTTTTCGATAGTATTTAATAATTTTATATCAAAATTATATTTGATTTTTGACAGTGATAATTTACGTATATAGAAAATTTAATAAGACTAGTAAAATTATTGAGTTATAGGTACTAAATAAATGATTACTTACGCGAAAGGTGGGTAATTTAGATGCGTTCCTCACAAATAATGATAGTAATTAGCAACTAACCGATGAGTATTAATGAGTATAAGAATATGTATAAGCAAATGTAGTACAGCATAACTAACTAATAATAAGTAAACAATAATTGTTGAAGGTGCGGTGTAGTTTAATCCAGTCCCGGGATAAGCCATGTACTCAACTTTCATTTGGATTTATAAAGGAATTTGACACGCGCGTTTGGTCTACACATAGAATAGCGGGACCCAACAGATTTCTATATTAGTGCTATTGTACTCCTAGACGCCCTATTAGACTGTGGTACCAATAAAACTGCTTTCGATTCATGGGTTGTTGAGCTTCTCCCTCGGCACCTTCCGCCATAACCATACTTCAGTGGAGCTCTCAGACTGAGGTTCTCAATTTTGGGAGCCTCTCTGGTGATTCCATAAATTATGAGTTTGTCCATTCTCCCGACAAATTTGATTCATTTCAAAGTAATCATTAATTTCATACTCGCACAAAGTAACAAATTAATTAAGAATTTGATTGATTTTAAAAATTAATCAAACAAGTAGTAATGTTCAGTGTTTGGCGTGTTCAATCGATTCCCGGGATAAGCCATACACTCGACTCTCGCGAATTATAAGCACGTATCAAGCATATTTTAATGAAATCAACCAATTGTAGGGGTCATCATCAACTTTGGACTTCGAATTATTTCAAACACCCTCTTATTGAACATAACAAAGAATAAATAGTACAAAAAGAAAACGATTGATTCAAAAAAAGCGAAAAAATCTGAATGGACACTTTAATCACGGTTCCAAAGAAACGGTAGGAGATGTTTACAGTGAGTTCACCTCTTTATCGGCAGCAGAAACTCACCCTTTTTTGCATGCATTATTTGTTGCAAAAGTAAAGAGAAAGCAAAATACTGACTGATAAAAAAATAAATAAAAATTGCTAGGTTAGGCAACATAAATTCCTCATCATCAGTGCATGTACATGAGTCTACACTCTTCAATCGCTACCACGATCTGTGTCATAATTCATGTACATGGCGCACTTCAATAACCTGACAAGGCAGTAGTACTTGGCTATACTAATGCAGTCTCTTTCTGATAAATTGTTGAGGACTATTAGGTATGAAAAATAATTTTCAGTGAAGATTTTCCAAATTGAATTTTAAGCACTGACTTCCCAGATTTCAAAATTATTATACCTACTATAATTGTTTTATATCCTACTATAATTAAAATAATCGCATTAAAAGAATAAAGTGATATGTATGGCATAAAGTGAGTAGGTATTTCGCAATATTAGTAGCAATATATAACAAGCGATTAAAAATTACTGTAGATTGACCGGAAATCGGAAATGTGTAAGCCAGAGAACTGTGAGAAGTGAACTCACCAACGGACATTGGTGGCTGGCGATTCTGAGTGTGGGATGTGGTGGTGTTGGGGCGTTGATGTGCAGCAGCAGCAGCAGCAGCAGGCAGCAGCAGCGGCCGCAGCGGCCCCAATTTGGCCCATAGGGCCAAAGTCGTTCGTATCAAAGGCATTAACGTCAATAACTTCACTTCGTATAGCAGTAGAGTAGTATGATAGTGAGTAATGTGTACGAAAAATATATGTATGTCGAACGTTCGCGTAGTAGTAGAAGAAAATACGTAGTAGTAGATGGGTCGTTCGGTTTGGGGGGAAAGGGGAGGGGTTGCCTGCTGTGGACGAGGTGGGGGCAAACACGCAACTGAACGCGCGGTCGGCCGCTTTACAACGACCACCGTGGCGGCGGCGACGACGACGGCGGCGGCGGCGGCTGCGGAGGCTTCGGACGGCGCGCACTGCGCTAAGCCCGACCCCTTCAGTTCAGTCGCCGCGGGGAGACTATGCTAATCGAGCTGCCATGTGGTGCGAGGTTTGCAGGGGCCACCGTAAACCAATAGATGGACGTGACGGGCTTATCACCACAAGTTTCCACAGCCGGTGTTCATAACTGACTCATCGACGGAAAGAGCTCTGAATCAGA